TGTCTTGACCAGGACCACACCCCTAAATGCATTGAAGCAACTGCCATGTGATTGGTTGATTAGATAATTGCATTAATGACAAATTGAACAGGTGTTCCTAATAATCCTTTAGGTGAGTGTATATGTACATGTGTACACATATAAACTACATGATATTTATGAGGTGCAAGGCTTATAATAGGATTTTATTTCAGTCTGAGCTAGTGAATCATCCCGTTTAATTCTTGCAGTGGTTATCCAGTCTTTAATCAGCATCAAGTGAGCTGGATGATTTTTTCTTTACTCTTCCAAATATCACCTACTGTAGACTTAGCCACTCCAAAATGGTCTGCACCAACTGTGTGTGATTTTCCTTTTCATATCTCTGTAATGATATCGAGCTTCTTTTGGAGGGACATGACACTACCACTTCCTTTTTAAAGCCATGGATTACGCAGCTTTACGCGCCGCTGTAAGTTCAGCTCCGCCCACAGCCACGTCCTCTAGCTCGCTCTCCATTCGATGTTCACTCCGCCTCCACGTGCAGACTCCACCCACAACACTCTGTATGTGGCATTTGTCACTTCCGTCTTCCGAAGTGAAAAGCCGACCCCAAGACATCTCGGGAGCTCTGCTCACTTATTGATTATTGTTGTTGGTTTGCTTTTCTTTGATGGATATTACTGTGTATGATTTGTTTGGTTTATTGGATTATTTTTGCTTTGCCCTTGTCTGTACTTTTGCTTTGGTTTACTTGCTATTTGGTTTTAAACACTCTCTTGGTTTTGGTTTTGCAGCCACATTTTACTCACATTATATTATATTCAACACAGTAACTTCAAATACATTTACACTGCCATGAACTCACTAATTATCCCAGAAGGCGTTGAGGTAAAAATAAAAAAAGAAACGGTCAATTTTTTCATTAATGGTTTCAATGACTTCCATGTCACGGGGAATTCTCTAAATAAACATGTCGTCTTGTGTGCAAATAACAAAGTCACACCAGTCAAACCCAGAAATTAACATCAGGCCCTGGATCTGCCAGTAATAAGGATGAGATCGCCTCACTGTCTGTGTACCCTCCCTGATCTGAATGTAAGGGCAGTCCACATAACTTGTTACATTTGGGCATTTGATCTCCAATAGGCCAAACACTGGCTGTCCCTCAGGATCGTACACAATCCCATCAGGTGATGAACCCATCCATGGTGCATCAGGGTGTATCAGAAACCCACATGGACAGTGGTTCACCTCCCTCACCTTGTAGTACTCCTCTATTGCTATAGGCTCCATGTCAAGCCCCCGCCGCATGTTAGCAGTCTGATGGCAAGGTCTCAGAAGCCTTTTGGCGAGGTTTTCAGCAGAACTTTCCCCCCTGTTGTGACAGACCTCTCTGAATTTGGAAGTGGTGATGCGGCACCTCCTTAGTTGGTGCCACTCAGCACAAGAACTCTGTTCTTGTGTATTGTGTTCAATTTTGTGTGCTGTCTCCAAAGATGTTTCAAGGGATGCCATGTAATAGTACTGGTTTTCAGAGCAGACAAATGTACATGTAGAGGGTCCCGAGCTGTAATCAGAGATTGGCAGCTGTGGGGGAGAAGGGGCATCCTTGGGACAGTCTTTGTTGGCATCTGATAGGACAGCACACTTCCCTCTTGCACCTCTTCAAACATGGAATCAATCAGAGGTACATCACTGGAAACAGCTATTGTTGTGATCATGGGAGCTTTATCAGCAGGAAGGTCATGGTACATGAACTTTAAGCATTGATAAAAAGGAAACAAGTGTGCTATAAATAAGAAATATATGTGTGCAAAAGCATGTGTGTAGGCATGCACGTAAAAATGAGTATTACATGTGAGCATGTGTGGCATGTGTAGGTCTGCATGTTTGCGTGTGTGTGTATGTCCATAGATGTATGTAAGTATGTGTGTATGTGGGTAGGTGGGGACAGGAGTGCATACATATGCATGTGTAGTTGTGCATGCCAAATGTCACTGTGGGGCATTGGTGGCCTTTCATTTCAAGGAATGGGACTCATGACTGGAGGGTTGTAAGTTTGATTTCCCACCTAGTTGCCACTGTGGTGCTCTTGAGTAAGGTACTGTACCTACTCACTGCTCCAACACTCAAATTTTGCTGTGCACTGTGTGCTGTGTCAGAAAAATAATCACTATTAGTTTTTAATTTTTTAGTGTCTGTGTGTAGTATTGATAGCAACACAAACTTGATTCCTTCTACCAGTCTTCTTTCTCTTGGTCTGGCTGACAGGATAACCATTTTGTTTACTGGACCAGGTTTAATACCCTGTATACAAACAAAAACATTTTTTCTATAAAGATTGAACAGATATCCATAAATAAAAAAAAGCATCAGGGGGGTATTCCATGAAAGTAGCTATAAAAAAAAGGCAGACTCAACCTACCTCCATCTCTAAACTTAGCCTCACGTCGTTCCACGAACACAGTTCAGTTTAAATTAATCAAGGTTCATTCAAGACAGACTTGCATAGTCTCACTTAGTGCGCACACCCGCGATATTTAAGAAGCCCAAATAAATGGATGAACGATAGATCGACCAAATGAGTCAGAAAGCCTGTAAAACGAGAGCGGTGTTTCTTTCCGCCGCAGAATAAACGCTGCTGATGGAGCTGTATGAAAAATACAAAGCTGTAATCATTAAAAAAAAGGCAATACTGTGGTCATAAACACAGTTTATGGTTTGGCAATGAATTTCAGACAGAATAAACGCATAAGTTACGTAAATGTTACAAGTGCTTAGTACAGTGGCATGGTGGTACAGTGGTTTATGCTATCGCCTTATAATGCGAAAGTTGCTGGTTGGATCCCCATAGCCAACAGGGAACCTTCTGGGTTGACTTCACCTGTTATTATTACTGTATATTATTATTTGATCTCCGTAAAATACTTTAAATCACATCCGTGTGAAATGTTCTGCACAAATAACCGTATGTTGTCTTTGGTATTTTAGTAGTAACCCAGCAAACATGCCCCTTTGGGGCCCCATTACTGGCGTGAAATGCGGGGCACATGTGGGCCCCACACTGTAGGGCCCTTGTGGACTGCCCACACTTTGGGCTGGCCTACATATACGTGCCCTGCATTTTTTGGCCTGCTGGATGCTCCCCTGAGGGCATACTGTGGGCACACTGTGGGGTATACTGCGGGCACATTGGGCACATTGTGGGGTGTACTGTGGGCACATTGGGCATACTTTGGGCGAACTGTGGGCACACTGTAGGGTATACTGCAGGCACACTGTGGGGTGTACTGCGGGCATATTGAGCATACTTTGGGCAAACTGTGGGCCTACTGTGGAGACATTGGGAGGGAGGAAAGCTGTGAAGCCACAGTGCTCCAGTGTCCCCGTGGGCATGCTCTATAGGTCTTTAACAAATAACAAAATTAGTTTAGTCCTGTACTGCCAGTATACCACAACATTATTATTAATGCGTATGCAGAATATTTGTACTTATTGAAAGTAGCAGTAATAAACTACAAGTACTGTAATATGTTTCAAAAATACACATCTGTTCACAGACAGGTTAGAAGAAAAAATGAAAAAACATATTGAAAACTGAGTATGTGGATTGAGTACTAAATATATATTTTTTATTAAACAGAACAATGAGCACATAGTATTACATACACAAATAATCAATATTAAATCAATCCCCTCAGTGTTTAGCATTCTGCAGCCATGTTTTAACTGAAGATTCCACCTCTGAGGCTGTGGCCCAGCTACTTTTTGTCACAGCATCTAATTGAGAAAAAAAGAACAACTGAAATGCTGATGTAAAAAAAACAAAAAAGGTTGTCCAAGTGCAAAATATATACTTGTGTTTTCCCTACTATCAGGTAGTTTCCCAGGGCTTTGTTGGTTCCATAGTTCTTGGAACTTTTTGGACAAAAAGGCCTTTACAGTAAGTTAAAATGTCAGTTGTGAAAGGTCTAGTCTAGTTGAGTCACAGGTGGAGCCTTTAAACTAGCTTTGGAACAGAACTTAAGATCAAGTTAGAAGTTAAATTAAGTTAAGTCAACTTGCCATGCTGATCTGTCTTTATGAAATACGATCATGCCTTTATTTTCTAGTGAAATCTGAAACACAAAACTTGTATACTGTATTTCCTAGTCACAAAATATTCTGTAATTTGGTCTTTACAATTAAATTCAAGATTTGATTTTGTTCTCCTTCTTAGGGTCTAATTGCATATGAACATTACATACTGTACCTATGACTGCTCTGCAGACTAGCATCTCCCCAAAGGCCATCTTCTGGCCAGAGCCCCGCCAGCACAACTGCTGGGCCAGTGGGGTGGTTAGCATACGCACAAGGATGCGTCTTGTGTTGGCAGATGGGTTGGGACCCCCAATTGTTGTCATATACTTTACCTAAATTGAGGTAATAATATATTAGTGTATTCACAAGACAGCAGCAATCTATAATGGAAAATGTAATAAACTTGTGATAGAACATGACATAGAATATATATAGGTGTACTGTACAATAAAGTTATCTAGAGAAAAGAAAATGCTAAGAAAAACATAAGAGAAAGTACTGTACAGATACCGTTTATATTGTCTATTTACAAGATGAATCGTGTCTGAGCACCTACATCAATATTGTTTTATATGATACGAAACACTGTATGTAGATCAGTGTTTCCCTTACCATTATATTAGGGGGGTTCCTCGCCCCCCCCAATGGCACCTCCCTCCCCCCCTTGAAGGTCAAGTTTATTTTATTTAATTTTATTCTCTATACAGCGCCAGATTACAACAGAAGTCATTTAAGGTTACCTTTCCTATAGAACAGGTCTATACATTGTCCTAAATAGCCTTATGTTATGTTATTTACACAACTGCTTGTCATTTTTGTCTCTATACGGTCGCGCATTTACAATTCTCCTCTGCTCTCTATGGCCCAATCCCAAACCGGTCCCTAGCAAACAAGGGACATCCAGAGGACGTCCTTAGGTCGTCCGCAATACAGTACGTCCCTTTTTTGGGGATGTCCTAAGGACGTCCTTAGGACGACCGTGTTATTATGAACACTAAAGAAATCCTTCAAAAGCAAGTTGTTGTGACAGTTTCCAGGAATAGCATTTTAAATAAATAATTTTACCTGAAGTACTTCCTTTTATTAATGTTCCATCAGGATGCCCGTTCTTCTGTGCCACTATGAAAAATAAATAAATCTTTCAGAAACAATTTATTATGACAGCCCGCAGGAACAGTATTTATAAATATATAAAAACTGACTGGATATGCATGGCTGTCGAGTGAATTGCATGCTACATGCTAGTGAATTGCAGTCAGATTCAAACTTAGGCCAGCTGCGTTTTAGGATTGGTTGCTATGGAGACGCTTTTTGCGGCTCGCGCTCCCTCGCTCACCCTCACGCGCAGTTCAAAGCACTGTCACGGGTAAGACGCGACACTCTTCTTTGTGCATAAAACTTTAATAAAATCATATTAACGTGTATAAAGTCATAAAATACGATGGGTTGAAACACATTTAGGCGTAATCCTACATTATTTTTTAGTGTCATTGGTATTAAACCGATTAAATCAACATGTAAAATTCCTGCCAGAACGAGCTAACGGTATCGCTATGAATTTTCTAGGAAGAGCTGAAGAG